CTGCCTCTTCTCACTTGGGGTGAGAAAGTTAGAAGTTGACTTCAGAAGTTGACGTGGAGGCACAGAATCCTAGGAGATCCTCAGAATTGAGAAGAAACTGAGGCCCAAAGACAAAACAACCCTCTCAGGGTTACACCCAGATTCTACACATCCTGTCCTTTTCGTTCATTCCATTAAATCTTAGTGCCTTTGGTTTTCTAGATCTTATTTTAAATACTAAATACTGAAATTGCTGGTAAACAAAAGATAAATATAATTTCCAAAGCCAGTGCTAACCTTTCAAATCTCCCTTTTCACTTCTACACTAATTGCTCACATTTCAAGTCCCATAAATTTACCATTCCTCAAGAATCAGCTATGCCCCCAGAATATGCAGACTAACCCAGCAAGGAACCCGGGGACCAGACGCTTGTTCTGGAGGCCCAGGACTGACTTCTGAAGTCCTTTACCACCCCAGGACCTGACTCCCTCCTCTTTCCCAGGAGGGTCTACTCTTCCCTGCTCATCCCTGCACCTAGTTAGTGGCCCCTGAGAGGGAAACGTTTGGCTTGTTGGCTAGATGCCTCAAAATTCGTTAAATCTCCACAAACCTCACAGATGGCAGTGTTGCCTGATTCAGGGGGTGGTGTTTGTGTGGGTGGGTGGTGGGTGGCGGGGGCCGGGGGCGGGGTGTCATTGTGTAGTACAGGAGGAAGTTCTGATGTTGGCATAGTTGGGGATGATGTGGGCTCAGTCGTTCTGAGGGTGAGGAGATGCCCAATAATATTTGCATTTCTTCCTCTATTTCAATGTGAAAAACGGGATTCAGACCCAGGCAGTTTCAGAAACTTCCCCGTGACAGGTGTGGAAAAGATACATTTGGGAAGTTGGGGACCAAGAGGCCAAACAAGAACCCTTCTCCACCCATGCAGCACTGTAGAGGTTCCAAAACGGACTTAACTCGGACTCTGGTGCCTGAGAGCCGAGCTTCACCCTCCCTCCAAGAGAGCGAGAGGGATGAAGGGGAAGGTTCGGAGGGAACGCTGCCCACAGGGCTCCGGGCTCCGGCCCAGCCCTCCCCCTGCCCCCGCGTCCTGGCGCTAACCCTGCTAGCTACCCGCTCCAGCAGTCGCGCTTCCTCCTTCTCTTCCCCGCAGCCCTACCCCAGCCGGAGGGGCGTCCCCTCCTGCGGCCCCCGCCCCTGCTGCTCGGATAGGGCGGGCCGCAGGGTCTTGCGGGGTCCCTACCTTGCCTGCGGAGGGCGCGCGGTCGGAGCCGGAGCGCGGCACTGGAGCTGGAGCGCGAGCTGGGATGGAGGGGACGGGCCAGGCAGACACAGGCGCCGCGGGGCCGCCCCTCTCCTGACGACACAGCCGCCCGTCCCCCGCCCCGGCCGGCCCGCCCGCGCACGCGACACCCCCAACTCCGGGATGCCAATCTGCAGAGGTGCAGGTTTCCCGTTCACCAAACCTTATTTACCCCCTCTCCCGAATATCTCCAGAGCTCTGGGCTGTGCCTCTTTCTCCACATCCTGCGCTTCTCATCTTCTTCCCGCCCTGAGGCCAACTGTTTGTTTTCTCTTCCTTACAATCACATTCAGCCTTTCCCTTCATTCCAACCCTGGGAGACCAAGACGGGGAGCGGGGCCGCCTATGGTACAGCTTGGCAGCTGCCCACCCAGCCAGTCTCACCCTCTCCTAATTGATGCTATCCAGAAACTTTCCTTCCCAACTTCTTTCCATCCACTCTTGGCTAAATTCATACTCAGGCCATCCCACAGCAGCAAGGCTGGAGTTCCAGACTCCACACCCTGAGACCCAAACACTCACCCCACAAGCACTATGGGCTCCACACCTTTGACAGTACTTGAGCGAACCTACCCACCTTTGCCTCCAGGTTCCTCACCTTGGTAAAACCAAGACCCCAGACATTTCACACTTGTTTTCCCAAGTTTAAGGACACCTCCTTCTCTCAAAACTCAGATTATCCCCTTGATTCTGGGGTGGAGGTACAAAGAGCACTCTGGTCTGTGTCCACCTACCTGTTCTTCATGCTCTAACCCTCCCACTTTACCTGCTAGCCTTGGCGGATGGTATAGAAGGCCTCAGTCAAAAGGAGGGGTGAAAAGAGATCCTTTCAGCTTCTCCTGTCTGGAGTCTGTTCTGAAGTTGTTAAGACTCTGGGGGCAGCATGGTAGCAAAGCTGGTAGAGCAAGGGAGAGAGACAGAGGCCTAGGGACTTACTGGTAGGAACTGGGGACCCTGGCATCCTGCTCCCTAGCCCTGCCCCACCCAAACCCCCTCCTGCCCTTCACTGAAGTAGCGCACCAAAACAAAGGCTTGAGTTCCTGGAATCTTCCCTTTTACACCTGGTGGTGGAAGAAAGGGGGAAGAGAAAGCTCTGACTGGAAGGGTACATGTGCATGTCCTATGTACATCGTGTGTGTGTACACACATACTGTAATGTGCACCCACATTTTAGTACTAATTCCCATGTATAATGTGCACCCTTATTTTTCCCTCACAAATTTAGGCAAAAAAGTGTGCATTATACATGGCCAAATACGGGGTGAATATACACACACTTATAATGTATACATACTTTGGTGGGGGCTGAAGAGGAGGCATGAATGTATGAGGACCTCTAGTGGAAACAGAAGAGTCCAAGCAGTTTTTGATCATTTCAAGACAGGCTCGTTGGAAGAGACTCCTCCATTTTTATCAGAAATATAGCTGCTGCATAATGGGGTTTGGGAGTACTGTTGTTGCACCTGAACTGAAGATCTGAGGTAGGGGTTGGAGAGGGTTTGTCTCTCTTCTCCTAAGTCCCCTCCAATCTTAAAAAGACACGGGCCCTGCCACTTCTCATCTTTCATCCCCCCTTCCTAAAATATGACCTCCTTAGTCACAAGGAATCATACATTTTTTTGAAGGCTTATTTTGCACCAGGTCCTGTACTTAGTCATAAGCAGACCTATTTTGTTCCAGGTCCTATACTTAGTTCTGCAAGACAGCCAAAGACATAGCCTCACTTAGGGGCCACAACAAAGAGTGGCTTTGGTGTGTGCATGCGCACGCGTGCATAAAGGGCCTTCCAAGTCTAAGCCATCCTAAACAAACATACAATATGTTAAGAACAAGTTCCCTAGCCCCTATTCCAATCAGTTTCCGCCCCATGAACCTCTCATCTAGAAATACTGGAACAATACTAATCCTCAAAGCACTCAGCTTTCCTTGCAAATAACACTTGCAATGATACAACCTATGTATGATCTGTGTTTCTCCATCATTCTCAGATATGTCCCGACGTGAAATTAAAGAGTTCCCTTTTAAGACGTTATTTGATACTTCAAAGTAAGACATGAGGTGATCTCTCTAATAAGGAATAAGATGGAATCAGTCATACTCTAAGCTTCTTTGTGTCTTCTTTAGGATCTGTGCCCCATCATCCCCTAAGTCAGTTATTGGTGGGGGTGTGAGGAAGAGAGGCCAAGTAACATCTAAGGAGGAGGTGTCTAATGACTATAGTTCCAGGTGCTCATTTCTTTAATCAACCACATCAAAAAAATCACAAAGAAAGAAACCGCAACGAACAAAGGGAAAGGAAAAAACAACAGCCTCGTTCTCTACAGCCTCTTCTTTCCTTTCTTCCTCCTCAGGGTGGGGGGCCACATCCGGGGCCCAGGGCTGGGTCCAAGGCAGGTCTGCTAGGTAGACAACTAAGTTTCATTTCCTGTCAACCCCAGAGCTGAAGCAGGGTGTCTGAGGGCATCGTGGGGGCCTAGGGTTGGGTAGTCAACAGGCGCCACTTTAGGATTGATTCCCTCTTGCAGAATGGTCCATGGAGCAGTCCACTAGAATCAGTGCTTGCACTCCTCAGGTAGTACAGTCAAGACCAATGCATCCCTTTAGTTTTTAGGGGCTTCAACCCACACCCTCTCCTGTAACCATTAGGCTAAGGATAGGATGCTAGACCTGGCAGGGCTGAAGCACAATTGATGAAGGAGCAGGGGTTTAAAATGGCAGTTACAACAATTGCAATAACTGTGTATTTAACATACATGAGTTTTTATAGTCTTTTTGAGAGCTTCTGAAATGGGCCTCTGCTGAAAGTCAGGGAGGTGGAGCACAGGAAGGCAAGCTGTTACCCCACAACACTTCGGAAGCTTCATTTCAAAGTCTTAGGGTGTTCCTAGTCAGCCATGGACCTCAGTTTTTTGTTTTTTAACTGGGGCACGCAACCTGGTATTAAAAGCCAATATTGGCCTTCTCCCTGGTTCTAGCACTACTGTTGGAAATTAACCTAAACCAACGTAGGGTATTTGGAGGAAAGTAAAAGGAAAAAACAACGCGGGATTGGGGGAGGGCAGAAGTGACACCTGAGGAGAGGAACCTGCAGCCGGCCCCTCCCTGGCCGCAGGGGAAACGAGTTTAGCAGGATTTAGCCCTGAAGGAACAAGAGGTGCTGAAAAGTACGGGGGAGGGAGAACATTTGGGTTCCTATAAAGAAAAGGTAGAAGGCGGGGCAGGACTGCAAAGGGTGAGACCGTATGGGCCGGGATTATTGGCGAGTTGCCCCTTTTTCAATCCGCAGCGCCCAGAGACTTGGAAGAGGTTAATTACAATACTAACTGGGTCCGCCCAGAAGCCTTCACCCTGCCCTTTGACCCTGGGGCTCAGCCGGAGGAGGCTCCCGGGGTCCAAGGCCAGAACAAACCTAAGCCGTCTGCACTTCGCCACCTGAATCTCCGGGGCCGCCCAGGGGGTAGGGTCAGGCCAGGGCTGCCCGTCCTACTCCGCCGGCCGCCGCCTCGGCCGTGGAAGCCGCCTGCAACCCTGAGGCTGCTGAGACAGGTCACCGACCGGCAGTGCCCTCCGCCCTCTCTCGCCGGTCTCTATCCTGCGAGTGGAGCAGGGTGGCCCAAGGCAACTGGCACGCGATTTCGACTGCCCACCTCCTGAGAGAATTGAGGGTCTTCCATTCACCCCACAACACTAGTGCGCCCCAGTACGTTCCCGGAGTTTGCCTGACCGGCTCCATGTCCCCAAGCCGTCCTGGGACTTGGGCGCAGACCAGGGCCAGAATATTTTCCTTATTTATCAGGTCCCCTTTCCGGGTTGCAGGTGGGCCTTGCCACGTTTTCCCTCGCAGGTCCTGGGCGGACGGAGTGCCTGGAAGGAGAGGCCTGTGCCTCAGAATTCTCTCGGCTCCCAGAGGACTGCTGTATACGCAGCAGGCGCTCAATAATGGTATCAGTGGCAGCAAAAGAGCACACTGCTTTTATTTTACTAAAGTCTTCAGCTTCTACTCTCTTCCTTTCTCCACAAAATTGTGTGCTTTCCCTTTAAGACGAAAATGGTGGCTTGCTATGATCTGGACTCCACTTCCGGTGGGGAGGGGGCGGGACCCCAGCCCGCTCACGCCGGAAGTGGTTTGCGTTTTCAAGATGGCGACTCCCTATGTAACTGACGAGACCGGCGGTGAGTGCGGGAGGCGCGGAGCCGCTTTTCCCCGGGCTCTCGGGGCAGGGGTTCGGACTTGGAAAGGGGTTTGTGCCCCGCCCATCCCGGGGCCCCTCCTTTGCCCCGCCCTCCGGACCGCCTTCCCCATTCATTCTCTCCTTCGGGGTGTCACCTGCGCCCCCTTCTGGTCTCGAGTTTAGGGGTCTCTGCTTCCGGTCACCCAAACCCTGGGGTCCTTAACGCTGGCTGGCCCTACTCCAGGACCCTCACGGGCTTTTTATGTTTTCTCTAGCAGTTGAAGCTCCAGTATCTTCTTTGGGTTCTCCAGCTTTGGGGGTTCCTACACTCTTAGTTCTCTCCAATTCCTGCCCTCCCCTTCCTCCCCTCCCCCACTTTTACCTATACCTACTTTCTGCCCTACCCCAGCCACGTTTTAATTCTTTTTCTCGAAGCTGTATCTGTAGAAGATCTCTTCATTGCTACATAGTGCTTCTTCCACTCTTCCTCATCTTCACTGTCGGGTCACAGGTCCACAGGTGTAAAGGGACGAGGATCTTAATATAACTTTCAGCCTGAGTTTTCTTCTTGATGGCCCAACCCTTCTCTACTTTCTCAGTTTATAGTGCTAGGATTTGAGAGATCTAATGTGGAAGAAGGCAAACCAGGAATGTGTCTAGTGCCTTCTCAAGCCCACTGACAAGTTGGTAGAACCTACTATTCCTTCTGGCTAGAGAATTTCCAGTCTTGCTGATTGAGATGCTGAAGTGTCTGCTGTGTATATGAGCTTTATGTGTTGAAAACTGAAAATCAAGATTTTTCATTGTGGTTTTGTTCCCTCCTAATTTCCTCATTTTTAGAAAAAAAAATATCGTAGCATAATGATATCTAGTCATTGACAAGTGAATAAGGTAGTATGTGTGAAAGCAATTTATGAAGTGCTGTATAAGGCAAGATGTTACTGTTTGGGTTTTTTCTTTGGCCCTTATTGTGTATGTGTAGTCTTCTGTAGAAGTATTGAACCTGTGCTTTGGTATATATGGTCTGTTAAAATGTGCCATTTACGCTTCTTGCTTTGCTGCTTTTTATGTTCTTTACATCCCAACCACTACTCCTATGGTATCTAATGACAACGTAGGTATCTGCTACCTCTCCCCTCACATTTCAAAGTGGTCCAACATCTGTTCTCCACTCAGGAGGTCCTTTTTAAACTACCTTTTAAAAAAAGATTTTATTTATTTTTAGAGACAGGGAAAGGGAAGGAGAAAGAGAGATAGGGAAATATCAGTGTGTGGTTGCCTCTCATGTGCCCCGACTGGGCGGACCTGGCCAGCAACCCAGACATGTGCCTGACTGGGAATCGAACCAGCAACCCTTTGGTTTGCAGCCCACGCTCAGTGCGCTGAGCTACACTAGCCAGGGCTCAACTAGCTTCTTTTAATGTGTGCTTCGAAAATATTACTCAGTTTCCACTACACTTCTCTTTATTCTTAACTGTTTTCCTAAACTGATTTAATGAAAATCCAGATATCACATCTCATCTTCCCCTCCCATCAAGGGGTATCTTCTTTTCTCTATGACCATGTGGAGGGGAGGAAGAAATCACACTGTGTTTTTGCTTTCTCTTCCTACTTCCAGATCATTGATCTACCACTATCACACTAAACCTCATGGAAGGTATTGCCATACAATTATAGCCTTTTCTCTAAATCTTCAGGGCCATCATCACTTTTTTCTCCATTCTGCTTCTTGTTCTCATTCTCGGTATCTCCAGCACCTTTGGGATACTCTGATGTTACAGTTACTCAGCATGAGACCATTGACTTTCCGTCGTATTTTCAAACTAGCTACATATCAGAATCACTAAAACTTGGATCTCACCTATGATACAGCTTCCCCTTCAGGTGCTCCCCTCACTTATTTTAGCCTCCTTACCAGTCAGTGTTTCACTGTCTCCCATCCACGGAATCAGCATTTGCCCTCCTTAGGTTTGCTGCTTCTTGGCCTTTCCCATTTCATTGAATCTGTCATTACCTTCATGACTGTTTTGATGCTGCCCTTGCTAGACCTCTGTAACCAGCCACTATCACCATTGCTTTCTTCATTTGTTTTGATCTTCTATACTAAGCAAGCACTTACATTATCTTGAGTCATACCCATCAACTGTTTTCTTGGCTTGTGCTTCTAGGCCACAACATATGACTAGAGAAAAAGCACAGAAGCTAGCAGATGCAGTATAATGTAACTTAATGTTAACTTCTGCTGAGATCACAGCTTCTCTCCAATTCTTTTTTTTTTTTAAGATTTTATTTATTTATTTTTAGAGAGAGGGGAAGGGAGGGAGACAGAAAGGAAGAGAAACATTGGTTGGTTGCCTCTCCTACACACCCCTGCGGAGGACCAAACCCACAACCCAGGCAAGTGCCCTGACTAGGAAGCTACTGGCAACCTTTCAGTTTGTAGGACACCCAACCAGCTAAGCCACCTCAGCGGTCAGGGCTCCAATTCTTTTTTCTTGGTTTGCTTGCATTCTATCATGGCTATTCCCCCCACCTTTTCTAGCTCTCTGTGGCTCCCTTTTAATTATTCCTTTTGTGGCAGATGACCTCACTTTCCATTTCGTTGAAAAATTAAGGCCCATCATTTCTGTTTCTTTCCACAGCTTGATTTCTTGACTATCAGGTCTATACATACTATTTCTACTTCTTTTCTGTTTATTTGATCCTTAACTCTTTACAATTTTTATTTCTAGTACTGGTTTCTCCCAAGTTGCCAATTCCCTTTTCTGATTGTTTGGTAAATAGCTTTCATTCATGGATATGCTGTCACAACACCTCAAGTACAACCTGACCAAAATCCGTATCAGTTTTTGTTCCTTATTTCTTTTAAAGGCACCATTATTCTAGCCAACCCAAGATCAGCTTTTTTTTTTTTTTGCATTATTTCTCTCTTTCTTCTTAAAATTTTAAATAAATTTTATTTTTAAAAACATTTTCAGATTTAAAGAAAATTTAAGAAGATGATAAGACAATTCCCATATACCTTACACTCTCCCGTTATTCACACATTAGTAGGGTATTGTTATTGCAGTTAATGAGCCAATATTGATACATTAGTATTAATTAAAGTCCATACATTATTCAGATTTCTGTACTTTTTACCTAATTTTTCTTCTGTTCCAGGATCCTATCCAGGACACCACATTACATTAGTTTCATGTCTCCTTAAGCTCCTATATTGGCTGTGACAGTTTCTCACGCTTTCCTTGTTTTTGATGACCTTGACAGTTTTGAGGAGTACTGGTCAGGTATTTTGTAGGATGCCCTCTATTGGAATTTGTCTGATGTTTTTCTCATGATTAGACTGGGGTTATGTGTTTTTTTGGGGGGGGCATCCATTGAGGTAAAGTGACATTTTTGTCATATCAAGGGTAAATAGTGTTATGATTTTTCACTATTGATATTGACCATGGTCACCTGGCTAAGGTACTGTTTGTAAGGTTTCTCCACTGTTAAAGTTACTCTTTTTCCCTCTTCTTTCCATACTGTATTCATTAGAAGAATGGCACTATTCATAGCCCAAACTTTAAAAAATATTTTAAATTTATTGATTGGAGATAGAGGAATTTGGGGAGGGGGGAGAGAGAAACACGGATTTGTTCCACTTATTTATGCATTCATTGATTGATTTTTTTTTTTAAATCCTCACCTGAGGACATTTTTTTTTTCATTTGCTTTTAGAGAGAGAGGAAGAGTTGCCTCCTATATGTGCCCTAACCTCGGGTCGAACCTGTAACCTTTTGGTTTACAGGATGACACTCCAACCAAATGTGCCACACTGGCCAGGGCTTCATTGGTTGATTCCTGTATGTGCCCCGACTGAGGATCGAACTGCAACATTGGCATATAGGGCTATGCTGTAACCAACTGAGTTACCTGGTCAGGACCTATTTTTTTTCCCTTTGTAAGAAAAATTTTCAATTACAGTAAACACTCAATATTATATTAGTTTCAGGTGTAGAGTATAGTGGTTAGACATTTATATGCAACTTGCAAAGTGATCCCCCAATAATTCTTGTACCCATCTGACACCATATATAGTTTTTACAGTATTATTGACTATATTCCCTAAACTGTACTTTTAATCCTGTGACTATTGTGAAACTATCAATTTGTACTTCTTAATCCCTTCACCTTTTTCACTCAGCCCACAAACCTTCCCATCTGGAAACTGTGTTTTTTCTCCATATCTATGAGTTTGTTTCTGTTTTGTTTGTTTATTTACTTTGTTTTTCAGATTCCACATATAACTGAAATCATATGGTATTTGTCTTTGTCTGGCTTATTTCACTTAGCATAATACCCTTTAGATCCATCCATGCTGTCACAAGTGGTAAGATTTCATTCTTTTTTATGGTTGAATAATATTCCATTGTATATGTGTACCATGCCTTCTTTATCCATTCCTCTTTTGATTGGAGCATTTAATCCATTTAAATTTAAAGTAATTATTGAGCCCTGGCTGGTGTGGCTCAGTGGTTTGAGCACTGGCTTAAAACCCCAAAGGTCCCCAGTTTGATTCCCAGCCAGGGCACATGCCTGGGTTGTGGGCCAGGTTCCCCAGTTGGGGGCATGTGAGAGGCAACAGATTGCACATTGATGTTTCTTTTCCTCTCTTTCTCCCTCCCTTCCCCTCTCTTATAAATAAATAAATAAAATCTAAAAAATATGTTACTTTAAAGATTTTATTTATTCATTTTTAGAGAGAGGGGAAGGGAGGAAGATAGGGAA